CGGCCTCCGTGGCCTCTCCCACTTGACGGGCTGCCTCCAGCTCGGTGGCTGCCTCCCGCTCCCGCTGCCACAGGGCCTCCTCCAAGCCACGAATCCTAGTCTCCAGTTCGGTTTGCAGCTTTTCCGAGGCTTCGGCAGCACCAGGGTGTAGGACGGGGCCAGTGGGGGCACTAGGGGTGGTGGCCTCTATTCCTGTGGCCTCATTTGTGGTCTCTGTGCCTCTGAGCTCTCCTTCCACTTCGCTCACTCCATTGGCCTTCATTTCTGGTTCCTCTGCTTTCATATTTGTGGCCTCTGCTCCCGTGGCCTGTGCTTCCAGGTTTCCTCCTCCTCCTAGAGCATCCGTTTCTGTGGCCTCAGCCCCTGTGGCCTTTGTTTCCAAAGCCTCAGCTCCCGCGCCCTCTGTTTCCGTGGCCTGACTGTCCGTGGGTTTAGTTTCCAGGACCTCGGTCCCTGTGGATGCTGCTTCCAAAGTCCTGGCTTCCGTGGTTCCAGCTTCTGCAGCCTCATCATCTGTGGCCTCAGCTCCATTCATTTTTGTTTCTGGAGCCGCGATGCCATCAATCTCCATTTCCGTTGGGCCATTTTGGGTGGTCTTGGCTCCTGTGTCCTTGTGCTCCCCAGGGGCTCCCTTCTCTTCTCTGGGGGTCCCCTGGACTTCCTGCTGCTCCAGCACCCGCACAGCCTCAGCATGCTGCCTGCGCAGCTGGTCCAGCTCAGCCCGGAGCGAGTCATAGAGGGCCAGAGGGACGACCTCGGCGGATCCGTTTGCCTCCATTTCATCCTTCTCAAAGTTCTCCAGGATCTGGAGGTGGGAGTGGGGGTGAGAGGGAACCAGTGGCAGCTGAAGTGGCCGTGGGGGCCACCTTCCCTGCCCATGGACTCAGCCACGTGCCCATCCCAACCCCCTCAGGTCTGTCCCCGGCCCATAGCCCCTCTGCCAGGCCTTGGTTTCCCCACCTGGACCTTCTCCATCAGCTCCTGGTTCTGTCTGGTGAGCGTGGCCACCTGTTCCCGCAGCGAGGCCAAGAGCTCCTGGGCTGACGGGCTGAGCTGCTTGGAGAGCAACGTCTCGGCCCCTGGCAACGTCACACAGTCAGGCCCGGGGGTCCCACACCGCAGGGGATGGAAGCTGGGCTGCTTAGGGGCCCCCGGGGCATGTGAAATAAATAACAACTGAGGGCCAATCTTCCTTTCAGCTTCAAACTTCATGCCTATGGGCAGAAGCTCTCTCTCCTGGGCCCCCAGGGACCAGGTGGTGGGGTGCACGGGGGAAGGACAAGGCAGGGGCTCACCTGGAAAGTCGGGCAGCTCACCCTCCTCATCCTGCAGCGTGGCCACGTCATAGCTGGTGTTCTCCCGCTCATTCTGAAAGGGGCCCAATGTCTGTCTTGGGGTCCTGCCCTCCCGCCCCAAGGAACCCCCAGGAAATCTGGAGTGGACAGAAATGTTTATGGGTCTGTTTGACCCCACAAGCATCAAACTGGCTGTGTTTGGTCCACAAGTATAGAGTGCCTACTGTGTGCCCAGGACTAGGCTGGCCTCCCAGGAAAATTAGCAAATGGCCCAATCACTGCCCAAGTGTGTAGTGGGGTTGTATGTGCAGCCTGAACACCTGGGACTGGGAGGGGGACAGTGGGTCCATCCTGGCGCAGGTGTGAGGTTGTGGGTCTGCAGTGAGCACGTGTGTGCGTGTGCCCTGTGCACAGTGGCCCTTGCCTCGCCTGTGTGAGTTCCTGTGACAGTGTGATTCTGCACCTGTGTTTTAGTCTGTTGTGTGTGTGGTTGCATTCTGAGTGTGTATATGAATGTTTGTGTAATCATGTATTTTGAGAAATGTGTGTTTATAAGTATCTGGGGGGTGTCATCTGCGTATGTGATTAAATGAGAAGTGTTGGCTGTATGCACATATTGGTGATGTGTGTGTGATTGTGCTTTCATGGATTTGTTTGTTGTCTGTTTGCCTGTTATATCACATGTATATGAGCATGGCTGTCCATCTCTTGTGTATGTGAGTGTGTGTGATTGTGTGTTTTGGGAAGTGTCTTTTATGTGTGTGCTAGCTGTATGTGATTGTGTTTGTATGTTTGTTGTGTGTGTGTCTGCATGTGTGTGAGACCGTGTATTAGTGTGGTTGCCATGCAACTGAGAGGCCCCGCCCACACTCCCCACCCCGCCTACCTCCAGCAGGGACAGCCGGCTCTGCAAACTCTCCACCTCCCGTCCCAGACTCTCCTTCTCCTCCTGCTTCTCTGCCAGCAGCTGCTGTAGCTCTTGCACCTGGAGGAAGGTGGTGGCGGCTCAGCGGGTCTCCAGGAAGAAACACTGGGCGGCTGGGTGGCTGGCTCTCCCCGACCTTCCACCTACCTGTCTCTCCAGGCTGTGCAGGGAGCTGGCCTCCGCCTCTGGCAGCTTATGAAACAAGTGGGGACAGGACTTAGATCTGGGCGGGGGGCATCCCTGGCCCACCTCCTGCTAGTAGCCCTCTGTCCCAACCACAGACATCTGTGCATCTACTGCTCACCCAGCACTGCTCTACCCGCTCACTCATTACTAAGTACTTACTGAGTGCCTTCTTTGTGCCAGACCCCGTTTTTGGCTACTAATTCACTCGCTCACTCACTCAGCCATTCAATATCTGTCCATCCTATAAATATTTATCAAGCATCTACTGTGAGCCAGGCACCATTAACTATGCCTTCCTTCGCGAGCTTACCATCGAGTGGGTAAACATGGATAAAATATATAGCATGCCCAATAACAGTAAGTGCTTTACATAAAAATAAAGGGCCCTGGCTGGTGTGGCTCAGGTTGTTGGGTATTGTCCCGTGCACCAAAAGCTTTCTGGTTCGATTCCAGAACAGAGCACATGCCAGGGTTTCAAGCTCCTTCCCCAGTAGGAGGGCGTGCAGGAGCAGCTGGTTGCTCTTTCTCTCTCCCCCTGCCTCCTCTCTCTCTCTAAAAAAATATATTTTTTAAAGTAAAGGGAACTGAGAAGCAACAGAAGAGTGTTACAATCCTATATAATACAGAGCTAATATGCAAATGGTCATCATGCCCTCACGCCCTCACGCCATCACGCCATCACGCCTAACTGCTCAGACACTCAACACTGGGGAGAGAGGAATGGGGACCAGCCAGGCACAAATGAGCTCTTGAGAGAGGAATGGGGACTAGCCAGGCTGCGGCCTGGGAGAGGACAAGCCGCACACCCCATGGTCCCCACGGTCCTGGGCGCCTGTGGCTGCGGCCCGGGCAAAGCTGCCCGCCCATGGTCCCCAGCAGCTGTGGCTGGCCCAGGCGAAGCCGACCCAGGTCCTGGGTGCCTGCAGCTCGCCAGAGGGAGGGAAGCCCAGGTCCCAGGTGCCTGCGAACGGCCAGAGGAGGGAATCCTGGGTCCCGGGTGTGGGGTGAGGCAGAGGCAGTTAGGGGCAATCAGATCAGCAGGGGAGCAGTTAAGGGCAATCAGGCAGACAGGCAGAGGTGGTTAGGGGCGATCAGGTATGCAGGCAGAGGGGTTAGGGGTGATCAGGCAGGCAGGCAGGGGGGCAGGCAAGCGGTTAGGAGCCAGTGGTCTCAGATTGCGAGAGGCAGTCGGACATCCCCCGAGGGGTCCCACATTGGAGAGGGTGCAGGCCCCAGGCTGAGGGACACCCCCCACCCCAGCATGAATTTCATGCACCGGGCCTCTAGTTTTAAATAAGGTGGGCAGGGAAAGGATCTTTGAGCAAAAACCTGAAAGAGGTAAAGGAGGGAGGCTGCAGAGATCTGAGAGGAGTGTTGTAAGCAAAGGGCGCAGCACATGCAAAGGCCCTGAGGCAGGATTGTGCCTGGTGAGTTGCAGGAGCAGTGAGGAGACCCAGGAGGCTAGAGCAGAGTGATCAGGGGAAGAGGGGGAGGAGGTAAGGGTGGGGAGGTGGGAGCACTCTTCCCCTCAGAATTGCACCCCACCCCAGCCTCAGCCCCAGGCCTGTGTTCCTGCTGCTCCTTACCTCCTGCTTCCTCCGTTCCTTGTGCTGCTCCAGGCCCCGGATCTTCTGAAGCAGGCGGCCCTTCTCCTGTCGCAGCCGCACAATCTCCTCATAGGCATCTCGGTCATCCTGTCCCCCCGAACCCAGGACCCCTCACTTTTACTTGAGGCTCAAGGGCTGTCCCATCTCATACTTGGGCAGGAGCTTCCCCGCCCCACTCCCACCCCTGAGGGCCCCCTTATTCTCCACGGCCAGGGCATCTCTCACCGGCATTGGGGTGCTGGTGGGAGGCTGAGGCGCCTTCCGCTTCTTGGGAGCCCCCCGCTTCTCATGGCTGGACACAGAGTTCTGGTGGGAGGGAGGGGATGCACATGGGAGACTTGGGAGCCTCCCACCAGATAAGTCAGCCCACTGAACTCTGCCCTCACATCCCATGTGACCCTGCCTGTCTGGTCCTCACTTATCCAGCATCAAAGGGGATGAGACCATGTTCCCCGAGAGTTCCAGATCTTTCGCTCTACTTTCTGCTCCGCTCCACGCCTCAGGACTTGGCCCACCTGGACCAACTGTCTCCAAGCGACCCTTCCCTGGAGCTGAGGTGCTGCAACCCGAGAGAGGGGAAGGGCACACCTGCTCCTTCCCTGACTGCATCAGCCCTCACCAACCTCGCTGCCCCCCGCCCCCCAGCCCCAGGATCTGACCTCATCCCCACAACGTCTCAGCCAGTTCTGGGGGTCATGCTGCGGGTTTTGCTGTCACTTGGTGGCAAGGGTCCTGACAGGTCGTCCTGAGTCAGAACCCCGGGGCAGAGGCCGACCTCTTCCTTCTCTCCCCACAGAGCTTAGGGTGAGGGAGGCCGTGCGCACAGGGAGGGGGGCTCGGTCACTGCTTAGAGACCATACCTGAGATGATGCCTCCCCCGAGTCTTCCTCTAGGAGGGCGGGGAGAAAGAAAAGCGGGGTCAGGCTGGGTGTTCCCGGACTCCACCCCCCACCCTCGAAGGGCATTAGTGAACCTAGGGGACTTGTGCGGATGAGGGGGGAGCTCCTGATTGCCCAAAAACAGAACTTTTAAGTTGGGAACCAACCACGTTGGCAGAACACTGACGGGCCTTGAAACTCTCAAAAAGAGAGGACAGTGGCATCTCCAGGATGGAGCAAGTGGGACACCAATTCTTAGAAAAGGCAAAGACCCAAGAATAAAGATGATCCAGGAAAGCAGGGTGGGCCCCTAGACTGTTCTAAAAGCTCTGGTGCTCCTTGAAACTGTCCTGATTAGGATCAGGGAGACCAAGAAACCTCCTATAATGCAGCACACAGGGATACCTTGAAACTATCCACAGAAGGAATAGAGAGGGGGAGCAAGAAACTGCCTAGGAGGGGGGTGCCCGAAATTGCTTAGAGGCGGGGCTTGCATACCGCTGGCTGGTGAGGGGCGCTGGGCCGCCTCCTGCAGGAGGTGCAGGATAAGTTTGTCCCCTGCCAGGGTGCCATAGTGAGCAGCGTCCTGGCCCAGGGCGTCGGTGATGCCTGGCTGGGCCCCTCCCTGCAGCAGCACCTCCACTGTCTCAGGGTTAGCCCCCTCACAGGCCAGCATGAGGGCTGTCCTACCAGGAGAAGGGGCTACTGAGAGGGTAAGGACATCCTCAAACCCTCCCCGCCTTCAACGACAGCCTGGGTTGAAGGAGCATGCCAACAAGATCCCCCCAACCAGACACCTTAAGAGGAGGGAGGCTCACCTGCCCTGCAGGTCCTGGTCGTTCACGGCAGCCCCCTGCTGCAGGAGGAGGCGGCACAGATCGGTGTGACACATCTGAGCTGCTATGATGAGGGGCGTTGTACCCAACTGGTGGGAGTTGGGGGAGGAATGAGACATCAGAGGCTGACCCTGGGAGGTGGGGGAGCCCCTGCGTAACTGCCCCTGAGCTGCACCTGAAACGTTCCCACACTTTTCGAAGGCTGCCTGCCTGCCTGCGAAGCTACCACTTGGTGGCAGCATGTGTCAAGCACAGTATCTTTCCCCTAAAGATCCCAGAGGCTCACCCGATCCCGGGGATTCAGATGTGCCTTGAAGGAGCAGAGCATTTCTGAGCAAGAGATGCAGCCACCAGCCGCTGGGGAGAGAGAAGGGGATGGGGGGTAGTTAGGGCAAAGCTTAGACATCTCCCGGGAGCCTTTTGTCTGGGTGTGATTATCTTTATTTCATGAGAAATTCCCACCTCCCCCGAAAGGTCAGTAACAAAGGTATGAATCCCATTTTACAGTTGAGGAAACTGAGGCCCAACCAGGTCCATGGTCATTCAGGGGGGTCAGAGGCAGAGCCACGATTAGGGCCCAGGTCTGCTAGCTCCCGGTCCCAAGCTCTTTCTGCCTTCCATTGTGGTTCTCCCTGAAGGTAGAACTCGGGGCTGATTTTCATGTCTTTGTCCTCTTTGATTCACCTAGCATTTATTGTGCACCTACTAGGTGCCAACCCTCTGTACAGTGTTACTGTTTACCAGAGGGAGCGGGTCTCAGCTGAGGTGTGGCAGGCTTCTTGAGGTTTAATCTGAGTTGTGAGGTTTCTTTTTTAATTTTAAAAATATATCTTTATTGATTTCAGAGAAGAAAGGAGAGGGAGAGAGAGAGATAGAAACATCAATGATAAGAGAGAATCACTGACCGGCTGCCTCCTGCACCGACCCCTTCCCCTCCCCCCCGACTGGGGATCGAACCTGCAACCCAGGCATGTGCCCTTGACCGGAATTGAACCCAGAACCCTTCAGTCCACAGGCCGACACTCTATCCACTGAGTCACGCCAGCGAGGGCCTGAGTTGTGAGTTCTGAAGGTGAAAGGGGGAAGGCAGAGGATACCGCATGGGCAAGGTCTTAAAGTGGAAGCTGGTCAGGCTGACGTGGAAGAAGGTATGGATGTCCGGAGCCTCAAAAAGGGAAGGGAGGGAGGGCTTTCTGCTGGGAGGTGTCTCTGGACAAGTCAACAAACTGTGATACCTGCTGTGTGCCCAAGGGAGCACAGGTTTTGTTTGCTGCTATAATCCTAATGCTTAGGACAGAACCTGGCGCATAGCAGGTTCTCTAGCAATATTTACTGAATGAAAAAAACCAACGAGCTTCCATAGCGTGACCAAAGGCATGGCCACCACTAGGTGGCAGCATACTCCAACTACAGGGACCTAGAAAGCAAACTCTAAAGCAGACCCAAATTTATTCTGTGACGGACATTTTGGATTTGATGAGTTAAAAGGCTGCCTGGGCCTTCGGCCTTCCTGAGATCCCCTAAGCGTTCCTCCAAGGAAATCACACTCTGGTCATCCCCCGTCAGGACTGGCATGCAGTAGGCTGTGCTTTGGGGTCAGATGGCCTAGGTCCTCCCAATTATTTGCGGGTGAACCTCAATCCCCTTGTCTGTCCAATGGGATCATCATGGCTCAAAGAGTTGCTAAGACCCAGTGCTGACACACAGTAGGTGCTCAGGAAGGAAGGAAGAGAAGGCAGGCAGCTCCCCCAGGGCACCGGGTAGAATAACCCCAGCCTAGCAGGACAAGCTGGGCTGCACCCACCTGCATGATGCAAGGCCGTCCACCCACTGCTGTCCACAATGTCCACCACGCAGGATGCCTGGGGAGGGGGGAACAGGTCATTTGAGGAGCCAATCCTCGTTGTTTCTGGTTTCTATAGGAACTGTCCCTCCTTGGCTCTGCTATTTCACTCTCCTTGCTTCACCCCCTTCTCCCCTCCCAGTTACCTGCTCGGTGGAGCCTGTCTCATGGGCCTCTGAGTAACTCTTTGTTATTATAAAAGTTTGTGAGAAAAGGGGAATAGCTAGGATCTCAGATGCAGCTGGGGGTTTGGGGAGTGGATGGGAGCTCTAAGAGTACTGGTGGCCAAGAAAGTACCTAAGGTTTGGGAGAAACTGGGGCTCAGGAAATATCTGATATTGGGAATGTATCTTGTAGGAAGTATCTGGACACTCAGGGAATATCCAGTTATCGAAGGAATAGCTCAGGAGTAAAAGAGGCCAAGGAATATCTAGGATTCAGGGAATATATGGGGGTTCAGGGAATTGCTGTAACTCAGGAATAATCAGGGCATGGGAGTATCTGGGAGTTCAGGGAGTATCTGAGATAAGAAAGGAAATGACCTGGAGCAGTTGCTTCAAACACTGTGGATGCCCATACTTGGCAGCCAGGTGGAGGGCATTGTAACCTGAAAGGAAGAGAGGATTTACTAGGGCTCCAGATACTCAAGAAGCTCTGACTGCTCCCCAAACTGTGTCAAGTATTTGTGATGACTCAGTTTCCCTGTATCTACCAAGTCCCCAAACCCAGGTATTTCTCAAAACCATGCTACTCCCTGTGGTCAGACTCTCCAAGCCTTAACTAGTCTATGTCCCAGACAATCTCATCTTAGTTACACTCCACACCCACCCACTCCTCAAGCCCTACTGCCCCAGCTACTTCCCATATCCCTAGCCACTCTACATGCTCAGCTACAGTGAAGCACCATCTATGCCTCTCAGAATCCACAGTTGTTCTGTATGTCCCACCTAATCCATCTACCCTTGCTATCACATGTGCCAGCTATGTCCCTGCCATGACACTCTACAAATCCGCAGTTACTCTACACATCCTGGCACAATGCCTGTTGCTGGAAGCTTCAGACATGACTATGCTCCATGCCTAGTTACGCCCCGAGCCCCAACTACTCCTTTTGGCTGTGAAGTAGATCTCAGTTTTCCCCTCAGGTCCCTAGTTAAGCCATAAACTCAGAATTTCCTTTTGCTCCAGCTATTCCCAGAGCTTCAGCTACCCATAAACCCCAGGTACTCCACACACTCAGATACTCCCTCATATTTACTTATTATTCTCATGCCCTCACCTACGTCTCAAGCTCATATGCTCCTCTGTCCCAACTACTTCCTCTGATTCAACCACTACCTGTGTCCCAGCTACTCCTCATCTACAAGTTAACTCACCTTGCTTGATGATAGCCATGGTCTCTGTCCTTGGGCACCGGTAGCCTGGCATGCCCCCGTGACTCCCTGTGGACACTAAAGGGAGCCCCTGCCCCCTTTTCAGCAAGACACTAAGGACATGAGGCAGGGCCGGGCTGGACCCCCAAGCTGGGCACCTGGTCTGAGTTCCTCCTCCCTCCCCTGGGGCCTGGTGCGCAGTACCTGCCCCGTCTGTGCTCATGACGTTGGCGCCGTGTGCCAGCATCACCTCCAGACAGCTGGCTGCACCCCTCATAGCTGCCAGGTGGAATCTGGAGGTCAGAGGTGAGGGGTAAGCAGCAGGGTGGCCACCCTTCAGCCATCATACCCCCGCCCAGGGCATGGGCACTCACGCGGACTTGCCCTCAGGGTCCAGCTTCGTGGGCACTAGACCCTTGCGCACGATGAGGGAGGCCACCCGGGTGGCATCATTGCTCTCCACAGCCTGCAGCAGCCGCTCATCACTTTTGCCCCAGTCCTGGCTCTGTGGGGCACACCCAGAGGATGATGGGGCTGGGCAGCCACCGCCCCCTCCCCGTCTCTCCTCCCCCTGGCAGGGGCTCTGGGCTCTCACCACCCGCCCCTGGGCACTTGCCTGGCGTCTGACCCTGGCTGCCGGCTTCGGGATGGGACAGGGACCACAGGGCGGGCAGGAGCCAAGGTCGGTGGGGCTGAGCCGCAGCTGTGGGGGGAGGTGGTCTCGGTGGGGGTCTGAGACAGGGTCCCCCAAGCCTGTGCCTCCCAGCATCTGCCCCTAGGCCCATCGTCCCAACGGTTCATCCAATACCCAGTGCCAGCACCCCCATTAAGCCATCCCAGATAAGCCCCCAGCATCTTTCCCCAAATTGCCCCGCATGCCTAGACCCCACACATCTTTCCAAACTACCCTCAGAAGTCCTCCCATAGGAACCCCTAAAATGTCCCTTTAAATGTCCCTCATAACCATCCTTTGCCATTTATCCTTCTAGCACTACCCCTGAAATACCACAATTGTCACCCAAATGTCCTCCAAGATCTGTTCCCCAAAACCATAGCCTGAAATGCATTCCAAAATGTCTCCCCAAAGTTCTTGACGTGTTTTCCAAAACTGTCCCCGCAAATGACCCCATCATCTGTCCCAAAAATGTCCTCCACAAAATCTCTCAAATGTCCTCTGAAATTGTTCCTCAAATGTCAATCTTTTTCCAAAAATGGTCCCCCAAAATAGCATCCAAATTATCTCCCCAAATGACCCCATCCGAAAATGTTCTCTGAAACTGTCCCTTTAAATGCCCTCTCAATTATCCTGTGTCCCCATCTGTCTCCCCAAAAGCCTCATCCATCCCCCACCTCTGCCACCTCCCAGCTCATCCTCCCCCGGTCTGGGGATGGGGGGTCTAGGCCCCTGTGTGATCAGGCCCCCATGGTCAGGGGGCGGGGAGGGGCGGGCAGGAGGGAGAGTTAGGACCCGAGTCCCTGGCTCCAGGCCCCTCCCCCGGCCTACCGCAGAGGAGGCGGCGGCGCACAGACACAGCTGCTTCATGGCATCCTCATCCTCGGCCAGAGGGGCCGGAGGGAGGGGCAGGCACAGCCAGAGCTCCGTGATCTGGCCCAGTGGTGGGGCCAAACCCAGCACCGCCCCTTCCTCCCGCCTTAC